ATTAAAAAAATAACAATAATAATACTAAGGGAGAAATGTGGGATTCACATATAAATCATGTATAAAAATCAAACGAATAATCATATCTGACTTGATTGTTTATAGTTCACGATGCGTGATCAAAACCGAAAGTTTCTGTGATATGACTGCCCTTGCACTGTTCACCATGTAAGAACTTATTCACTATGTAAGACCTTGTTCATCATGTAACTTGTTTGTTATGCTTCAGAAGATTGGAGACTGTTGAGATATAGGCTTGGGATTGATTAATGACTGTGCATTGAGTCCCCTGTACAGAATTTTATTGTTGTTAACAACCATTTGATCAATAAATGAGAGATGTCCTCTCAAAAAAAAATAGGATTAATTGAGACAATGAAGATAAATCAAGTTGTCAGCGCTGCTTCTGATGCATATTAAATGAATCATCATCATAAAAAAAAAGTATGTTTGGAAGTAAGATCAGTGCAAATGGTGAAGAAGGGGCCTCCCAAATTTCTTCCCTTCATAAAAGCAAGAAGAACACTGGCAAAATGGTCAGAATCAACTTTTTCAGAACTGTGGACATTAACCAAAGGCTTGCAGCAATCTGGGGAGCATTTTATTCAAGAATATAGGCTGAATTTTAGTGAGAACAATGAGCCTTTGAGTGAACTTTTGCCCTATTCCTGGGGAAGAATCACATTCTCCCCAGCTTCATGGCAGCCTCCAAAGCAAGCATCCTGCAACCATGGTGAAAATGAGCTTCCTGGATGACACCGAAGGGGACAGAAGCTAGCTTTAGTTCATTCCAAGTCCTATTCCCAGAGAAGTGTCATTGTTTGACCAATCTAGTGGGTTCTTAGAAGACCCCACTCACAAGACTGTCTTTATCAGACCAGACTTGGACTGTATCTACCCTTTACCCTGGGGACAGTTGCTGAAGACAATCAGAGGCCATTGTTGGACATCAGGGCTGCCTGAGGTGCAGATAACAGTTGGCGCAAAAGAAAAATCTGTGAATGAGAGTCCAAAAGGAGCTTTAAAAAGCTGTAACCTATTCCTGGGACTCTAGAAGGCTACCTGCACGTCTAGGGCTGTACACAAGCCGAGGGCTTTGCATACTTAGGAAAGCATTGAAAAGGCCCAAAGCTAACCTCTGGGGGACCTTGAGATTCTGCACAAAAGAAAATGTAGGTTATGGTGTAATAGTCTGGCAGAGTGTTGGAGTCCTGCTCTAACCCGCACACAAAGCCCTTTGTAACAACTGAGAGACTTGCTGGTTCCAGGCATCCGAGGGAATCCCTGTCCAATTATTAGCCAACCAAGTCGATGTCAGTGGTCACGCTGCACAAAGAATAGAGAGTTTGATAGGGAGAAAGCAGGATATTCTCCTGGCCTGAGCTCAGGCTGGAACTTTCCATTCTTCACAAAATGGAGATGGTATTAAGATGGCAGATCTCACATGCTAACACCGAGGAAGGAGAAATTCTGAGTTGTAGTTGTGATCTTATTTAAAAGGCCCAGAGACATGGGAAGAAACAAGGGCTCTGCCCTCCGGAAGTGTTTCTGAGTCCCTCTTCAGCCCCTTATGCAGATGGGAAGGCGCAGGGCTCGGGTCTCCCTACCGCCCTGTCCCAGCTCAGAGGAGGCGCTGGCACAGTAGCGGTCTTTCTTTAGGGCAGGTCTTTCTATAGTTTGGCCTTGTCATCGACCTGACATTGGTCAGTGATCATAGTGTATTCATTTTTGTGTCTTACAAAGTGATTTACTGAAATATTAAATAAATAATGAATTTCTTTTTCCCTGTCTTCAACTGTGACCATTCTAAATCAGAACATGTACCAACACAGACTATCAAACTGGTCTTTCTCAATTCCTCTCTTTGTGGTAATTTTTTTAATTTTTTATTATTTATTTATTTATTTATATTTTTTTGAGAGGGCATCTCTCATATTTATTGATCATATGGTTGTTAACAACAATAAAATTCTGTATAGGGGACTCAATGCACAATCATTAATCCACCCCAAGCCTATATCTCAACAGTCTCCAATCTTCTGAAGCAAAACGAACAAGTTCTTACATGGTGAACAAGGTCTTACATAGCGAATAAGTTCTTACATGGTGAACAGTGCAAGGGCAGTCATATCACAGAAACTTTCGGTTTTGATCACGCATCATGAACTGTAAACAATCAGGTCAATTATGATTATTCGTTTGATTTTTATACTTGATTTATATTCTTTGTGGTAATTTTTATATTATAATTTCCATACAGACATTTCTAATGCTTCATCTACATTAAAAAATTTTTCTTTCCATATTTGTTTTCATTTGTTTGGCCTTTGTTTCCACCTTTCAGATTTACTTCACAGGAGTATATTTTAATTTATAGCTAGTATTTGGTTGTTTCCTCTCAATTCTTTGAAATTGTAACTTGCATCAATGAAGTATTTTTTTTTCTGTGTCCTGTATCAATCTTGCCTATTTCAGTTAAATTTATTATTAGCCAGAAAACATTCAGCCCTCCGGTCATTCTCTCCAACCTACAGGGAAAGCCAAAACTTCAGTGTAACCGTCAGAATCAAAGTGTCTAAGAAGCACCCCCTCCTTTGGATACCAGAGAAAAACTAACAGCCTGGACAGTCTGCCCTAAGGTCACCCTGGGATCTCGGATCTTGGCACCCCCACCCCCATCTTAAGGAGAACAGTGTCTGAGTTTAAGTCTGCCATCTGCAAGAAGCGTGTTGTATCCCTACGATGCTCTGCTATCATCTCAGGACCGCCTGGAATCCACTGTTTGGGGTTGCCATGGACACAGGGTTCTTAACTCCAGTACTGCCCGGTAGAGGCATCAGGTGAAGACCTGGAGGTAGGTGTCTGCGGACAAGGGGGTCCCATCCCCTCTATGCCTGCTAATGTTGCCCTCATCCTCCTAGAGTGAGAAGAGCGTAAGGTTTTAGAGGGACAGGTGGAGGGCGGGGGAGGAGAAAGGGCGGGAGAGGAGGAAGGATGGGGTTCTTCGGGGCCCACAGGCAGAAAGGTCTGCCTTAGGCTCAGCTGTGAGGGGCACTCTTTAAGTGCCTTCCTCCTCCTGGGGACCTCCCGGAATCCCCTCCCTCCTGGGTGGTTGGGGGCAGGGGCACTGGGACAATGGAGGACCAAATAGCGCAACAGTGTTGCTGCCCAGGATTTGGGCAGGGCCTAGAGTTCACTTGACGGTTTGCGTGGGGCCTGAGTGAGGAGGGGGTGGTTAAAAATAAAAAGGGAGAGACGTTATCCTGAAAGGTAGCAGGAGAGAAGCTGCCACCGGGATCCCTACTCAGGTTCACTCCCACTTAGGAGAAGTGTCTGAGTCACCACACCCTCCGGTGCCAAGCTGTCCCTGTGCCCAGCCCCTTCCAGGCGCAAAAGCAGCCTTACCTGCAGGTGACCGGATCCTGGCCGAGCGAGCGCAGGGGACGCCAGGAGTCCGTCTGTACCCTGGCCTGTTATGGTTGGAGCAAAAATAGGCAGAAGCCTGAGAGCTGAGCGTGAGCTGGCGCTCCTGTTCACTTGTAAAGACTGTTTACAGGTAACTGTGCCCCAAGCCCAAAATTCAGAATGAACATTTATATTCATTTTGGTCTATTTTGGAAAAAAATGTGTTGCCGGGCAGCTGTGTCTGGGAGGTCTCTCCCTGTGCACTAGGTGAAACTTCCACCTGGACTGGGGAGGGTTCTCGACTGAACGGGAGAGAATTCTCCAGCAGGTCGGAAGAGCGCAGGCGAGGAAAGAATGCGGAGCGAGAGGAGGGAGGAGGGCGAGAATGGGCAGCTGAGGGCAGGACAGTGCAGGGTGGGGGGTGCGAGCCTGCTGACCTCCGCGTAGGGACCTCTCCCTGGACAGCTCCTGAAGCCAGGGTCACCTGGCGTCCCCTGTCCGCCCGGATCTGCACAGGGCGGGCACCAGCCCCACCACGCCGCGACTCAGGGAGCCGCAGAGCCCAGGATGGAGTGAGATTATGTTCCCAGAACATCCCCAAGAAGGGAGATTCTCAGGCAGGCTCCTGCAGCTGCAGCTGGGTCAGGGTCACCCAGGTGACAGGGACACACAGGCCCAAACCTGAGCTCTCAGCAGCCCCCCCGCCCCTCTGCCTACTCACCAGAAATAAAGTGGAGATGAGGTGAGACTTGGAAATAGAATGAAATAGCAAAGAAATAAAGACGCTTATCACTGTAAAGGCGCGGAGAGACAAAACACAATTAAGTTGAGCAGTGAGAAAGCTTTATTTAAACACCCACTTGAAGAGAGAAAAAGTGTGGATGTCCTCAGGAGGCACTGAAAGGTTGGGGGTTCCTGCTTTTAAGGATTTTTCAGGAATGTGACAAAGGGCCAGGGGTGTAGTTGTCAGGTGGTGTCAGGAGGCTTAGGTGGGAGACACCATGCCTCCTCCTGTTACCAGTCCTCCAGCTGATTCTTAAAGTAATAAGAATATGCTTAGTGCAAGAAGTTTATTGATCCCCTTCCTCCCCAGGATAGTGACTTCCCTCTGGGGACATGTCAGTTAGGACCACCTGCCTTGCCCCAAGGCGGGCCGAGTCATTGTCTGCTAAAGAATGTGTCAGGGATCTTACTTCCTTACTGGCTCTTGAAATGGAATCTTCTCTCCTTTTCTTACTATATTGTTTATATCTCAGCTTGTTTGGAAAATTAATCATGATGCCTGTCCCCTGTCTCTGCCCACCATCACAAGTATTTTTCTATTTCTTTTGTTTTTCTCTCCTGACTTAAAATAGGGGCTTGTGGCATGGTTCTGGCTGCCTCAGTGTAGACATGCTCACTTGGCAATGTCCTTTTATTTCCAGTGACTTCTAGTAGTTTTCTTGGGTGACGTAAATCTGCTCTGTGAATTGTTGAGGGGCCATCTTTGCTTTTCCACCCTTTGATATATTCTACAGAATATTTAAGGATGGAAATATCACAAATCACTATGATGATGTAAAATTGGTTTGAAATGGGCTTTTTTTCATTCTGTCTGCATTTTATGTAGCAAGTGGGCAATCTTTAAAATGTCTTATACTTGACCTAAACTTAAAGTTTATTGTTTTATTTAAATTTTTTAAGTTTTCATTGAATTTTATTGAACGTTCAAAAAATGTTTTCCCTTATTTCTTGAATTAAAATACTAAAGGCAAATACAGAATGTATGTTTCACAGCATTGATAAAATTCCACAATACTGTAGATTTTATATTTGTGGATTCCAGAGTTTAGAATGCTGATCTCTATCTAGTAAGTTCCATGTGTGACTTTCTTTCTAACTGGGGGATGTCATATATGTTTTAAACACATTGAATGTAAAATGATATTCGCTTGTCTTTTTCTTAGATTAATTCTAGATTAAATTCAGCCACAAAACAATACTATGCAGAGATTAAAGAAGAACGCTTTATGTCTCTGGTTCATGTGTCGAAAAAGAAATAGGTAAGTAATAAGACTCAAATTTACTGAATTTAAAGCATGATTCTCAGCCTTGGTTAATAGAATGAGGAATACATGGGTGCCTTCTTTCATAATACATATAAGCTATATGCAAATGAAACTTGGCACAGACAGTTTAAAGACTTTGTCGTATGCCTACAACTTCCTTAAAAACACAACAGCTTCGGCAGTGTGCCAGTAATAACGTGCATGGACCAGTGATGGCCACTTGAAGCTTCTCCTCCAGGGGCAGCTGTTTGCCCTGATGGGGGATGCGCTGCCCATGGGCAGGGCCATTTCCCAGAGACAGCCACCACAGGGCTTCAGCTACCCATCTCGGGGCAACGGCCTGAAATACTGTCCATTTCCACAGTGAAGATTACAAAGAGTGATTGCTGTGATTAATGGCTTACGAAACAGTGTGATTGATGTTAGAAATACATGAATGTTTCAAGGCCTGTGAATAGGTTAAAATGAGTAATAGTAACTAACTCAAGGATTTTAATGAGAATCAACTGAAGTAATATGAAGCATCAGGACAATGCCTGGCATTTAGTAAGTACCATTGAAACATTTGTTAGATGAAATATCACTTCTGTGATATTCTTTAATTTTGGGAAAATTTGTCATTATTTTTTACATAGTGTCACTTCTACATTTTCTTTTTCCGTTTATTCTCAGATGACTATACTCCAGATATTAGGGATCTGTTTTCTTGTCCGTATCGACTGGCTTTTCTTCTGTATGTTCTCTCTGTCCTTTTCTTCTTTTCTATTATTTTCTGCGGAGTTTCTCGATCTCATCTCCCAACTCTAGTTTGCTCTCACATGGATCCGAACTATTATTATTCCACTGAGTATTTCAACAGCTACACTTTTATACTTAAGTTTCCTCTTGGATTTTTTTCTTATGATTTCTTACTCTCATTTAAATAAGTGTGACTCTCTGAAGTCACTTGGAGTCTGATCATATGTGTTTTGAATTTTTTAGGAATGCTGCAGATGAACTGACGTCAGTAATCTCTGATAGACCCGCCAATGCACGGTGAATTTTACTAACTTTAGGCAAAAAACTGTGACTCTCTGAAGTCACTTGGAGTCCGGTCATACGTGTTTTGAATTTTTTAGGAATGCTGTGGGTGAACTGACGTCACTAATCTCTGATGGAGCCGCCAATGAAAGGTGAGGTTTACTAATTTAAGGCATTAAAATAAGTATTTCTCATACTTATTTAAAATGTTGGTCAGTATATTCCAGGAGTTACGCCTCAGGCGGTCTGTTGTTCCGTTTGTTGTATTTCCTTCTCAGCAGTTGTGCCCCTCAGGTGTGTGATTGTTTTGACCTGCAGGCTCATGTTCCGTGGCCACTGGCCCTCTGGTAACTTTTATTAGGGAAGTACTTGAGGTTTGCTTGCGACAACCTCAGTCTGTGGCTGTGGTCTTAGCATAATTATTAATAGCACATCCTTTTCACTTTTAAAAATGTCCTGCCTTGGGGGAGGTATTATATAGTCACCCTCAGTGGAAGCAAGGACCTGAGATACGCCTTTCTCAGTACGTTTGACATGAGGGAAGGTGATGATCCTGGGGACAGAATCTCAAGCAACAACTCTGGTCAGGGTGTGTCGCCTGTGAGAGTCTGTGCACAGCCAGCATTGAGGAGGTTGTCACCTGGGGGCTTTGGAGGTGAGGAGAGGAGTGACCACCCGAAGCTTGCTTTTCAGCCCTTGTCCTGCTTTCATCAGCCAACCTCATGCTGCTCTGATTTTGTCCTGACGACACTGGGTAATTGCTACTGGTTCCTACTGAGGAAGCAGTGCTTGTCTCCAAGCAACGCGGAGGAACGGCAAGAACAGGACTTAACATTCTCCCTCCCATGAGGCCGTCAGGACTGCCCCCAGCTGCCTTTTTCCTCCTTCTGTCCTCCAGTTAAGGGGTAGCTCACAACAGCTACACTTTTATACTTAAGTTTCCTCTTGGATTTTTTTCTTATGATTTCTTACTCTCATTTAAATAAGTGTGACTCTCTGAAGTCACTTGGAGTCTGATCATATGTGTTTTGAATTTTTTAGGAATGCTGCAGATGAACTGACGTCAGTAATCTCTGATAGACCCGCCAATGCACGGTGAATTTTACTAACTTTAGGCAAAAAACTGTGACTCTCTGAAGTCACTTGGAGTCCGGTCATACGTGTTTTGAATTTTTTAGGAATGCTGTGGGTGAACTGACGTCACTAATCTCTGATGGAGCCGCCAATGAAAGGTGAGGTTTACTAATTTAAGGCATTAAAATAAGTATTTCTCATACTTATTTAAAATGTTGGTCAGTATATTCCAGGAGTTACGCCTCAGGCGGTCTGTTGTTCCGTTTGTTGTATTTCCTTCTCAGCAGTTGTGCCCCTCAGGTGTGTGATTGTTTTGACCTGCAGGCTCATGTTCCGTGGCCACTGGCCCTCTGGTAACTTTTATTAGGGAAGTACTTGAGGTTTGCTTGCGACAACCTCAGTCTGTGGCTGTGGTCTTAGCATAATTATTAATAGCACATCCTTTTCACTTTTAAAAATGTCCTGCCTTGGGGGAGGTATTATATAGTCACCCTCAGTGGAAGCAAGGACCTGAGATACGCCTTTCTCAGTACGTTTGACATGAGGGAAGGTGATGATCCTGGGGACAGAATCTCAAGCAACAACTCTGGTCAGGGTGTGTCGCCTGTGAGAGTCTGTGCACAGCCAGCATTGAGGAGGTTGTCACCTGGGGGCTTTGGAGGTGAGGAGAGGAGTGACCACCCGAAGCTTGCTTTTCAGCCCTTGTCCTGCTTTCATCAGCCAACCTCATGCTGCTCTGATTTTGTCCTGACGACACTGGGTAATTGCTACTGGTTCCTACTGAGGAAGCAGTGCTTGTCTCCAAGCAACGCGGAGGAACGGCAAGAACAGGACTTAACATTCTCCCTCCCATGAGGCCGTCAGGACTGCCCCCAGCTGCCTTTTTCCTCCTTCTGTCCTCCAGTTAAGGGGTAGCTCACCCTGCTGTGCAGTCTCCCAGGGTTTGTGTCGCCATTACTACTTGGAATTCATACTTCGGTCCGACTTCTGTAGTTTTGGGAAGAGGACTATCTGTCACCTTGGACGGGAGCCCAAGATTTCCCAGGGAATTATGGGAGTGTATTTGATGAGAATCTTCAAGTGTTTCTGAAATTTAAGATATGTATCAGTATACATTGTTATACATTGTCACATACTGATTGTTTTTTGGCATAACTTAAGGTGAAGAGGGCAGGCTGCCTAAAGACCAGTTATATTTATAAAATGGTGAATATTTAGCATGATTTCATGAAGTTGACAGATGGAAAATACTTTTTGCATGTGTCTTACTTTATGGATGAGGAAATTAAGTTGCAGGGAGATTAAATTGCCCAAGCCAGTGGTGGTAGTGGGAAGTTGGAACTCTTAACTTTGGATAATATAACCAGATATCTTTTTTGAAATGAAGTCAGAGAAAAAGAAATTATTCTGAACATATTCTCTGGTTTCAGTTTAGAAAAAATCTTTAAACATCATTTAGGCCATGCTTGACCCATCTGCTTGTTTCTTCTCTAGGAAGAGGTCACCAAGGACTAGCCCTTGACATTGGAGTAGTCATTGTTCTGGCATTTTCTTTCCTTTTTCCTGTGTCCCTTCGTTACCTGTTACCTGAATCCACACAGTCTTCTGTCGATACATTCTTAGATCTCTCATGTTTCCCAAATCGATCCCAGAGCATGTCAATGGTTGACAAAATGGGGAATAAGAAATGAGGTTTAATCGTGAATTCTGTGCCTCCTTCCTTCCTTCTCTTTGCAGGGGACTCACCCAGCCTGGACGCTGTCTCAGAGGTCCGAATGCTGTGCTCTAGCTTCTTTCATGTTTCCTCATGGTTTTACTTTTTAGGTCCTGAAATCCTGCCAGAAGAAAGAATCTGATTGTCTTCCCAGATGTCTCACTCTATTTTTTGTGTGTTTTACTCCTTGGCAGAGTTATGGTCGCCCCTTCAAGGTCCTCTGACAACAGTGAGAACAAGGGGTGGGTTGACTTGCCTGATCTGGTGGGAGGCATTGAGGGGAGCATTGCTGGCAGTAAGGTCACTATAAGAAACTGTAAGCTTTTGTAGGCAATTTTCTTTTGGGATCTAGGAAGAAAGAAGAAAAGTTCATAAGAGGGAGGCCATACTCGTTGCCTGTTTGTAACCCTTAGTAACTACTAGCCAGAACTCTAGGAAACTCTTACGATGTCTGTGTATGAGACCCTGCTAGATTGGGCCAGGAGAAGAGAGAATCCTATCTGCAGCCAGGAGGAGGCGGCAGTGAGCGGGGAGCAGTGGGGCGCTCAGCAGAAAAGAGTAGCTCATGGACCCCAGCTCCATCTCACGCCCTCTGGCATTCTGCTGTCACCAAAAGCTGGGGTCCCAAATGTAGCTCTGTCCTCATATTGAAAGGAGCCCCCTGTCTCAGGCTTGCAGTTACACGAACCTGAATAAGAAACAGAAAAGACATACATGATACAGGGAGAGTAAGGATATGATGGAGGGACTTGAAAATCAGGAAATCGGAAGAGGCTGGAAGAATGTGTGCCTACAAACTGAAGTCGAATTTTCAAGCAAACTTGGCCTCAATACAGCTGCGCATAAGAGGTTCAGCAATGAACAACTGTACAGGTCTGAGATCATCATTACAACTATATAAAGCCCTATTTCTAGGGAAAGCTGGAATACTGGTTTCCAAATTCCAAATAATTTATAGATTATTTTTTAGAGTTCAACCACTTTACAACTGCAGACTACTTGTAACTAATTTCAAACAAAACTGTGACTCTCTGAAGTCACTTGGAGTCCGATCATACATGTGTTGAATTTTTTAGGAATGCTGCAGATGAACTGACGTCACTAATCTCTGATGGAGCCGCCAATGAAAGGTGAGGTTTACTAACTTAAGGCAAAAAACTGTGACTCTCTGAAGTCACTTGGAGTCCGATCATATGTGTTTTGAATTTTTTAGGAATGCTGCAGATGAAGTGACATCAGTAATCTCTGATAGACCCACCAATGCAAGGTGAATTTTACTAACTTTAGGCAAAAAACTGTGACTCTCTGAAGTCACTTGGAATCTGATCATATGTGTTGAATTTTTTAGGAATGCTGCAGATGAACTGACGTCACTAATCTCTGATGGAGCCACCAATGAAAGGTGAGGTTTACTAACTTAAGGCAAAAAACTGTGACTCTCTGAAGTCACTTGGAGTCTGTTCATATGTGTTTTGAATTTTTTAGGAACGCTGCAGATGAATTGATGTCAGTAATCGCTGATGGAGCCGCCAACGCAAGGTGAGCTATATGTTGAGGTAGAGTAGGGTGGAGAAATTTAGTCTCAGAAATATTCATGGCAGTATAAAATATTCTAGACGATTATCTAAAATTCTAAGAAGTTAGGATTTCCAGTGAGCTATGTCATGGTTATTGTATCTTTTAGAGTCAAGAAATTTTTGTTGTTCAGTTAAATTGGTCATAGTGCCATTCCATATAGCAAATCTCTAATGCTGTATTTTTGTATTTGTTGTTGTTTAAAGTCAAATAGAACAACTTTCCAACCTTGATAATGGTGATGAAGACATCAATTTTTCTAATTCATGTGGGTAAGTTTGAAGTTTGGAGGGAGGGAGCCATTGATGGATCTCTTGTTTTGAGGAAGATGGGGCTTGTGCTGAGACAAGAAAATGGAAAACTATGGGAAGATCAAAATGTTTAGGAGGGAGGGGTACACAATAAATCATTCTAATTCACAGAAAAGTTCCCAAAAATTTTCATTTGCCACAATTAAATATTCTAGTTTGATAATGTGAACATATCCTCAGTAGAGGGTAATTTTATTATAGTCTCTTCTTAAATAGAAGATTGAAGAATGCTGCCCACCCTTCAGTTGTGTTTCTGTATCATTTTTTCCCAGATATATTCTGGTTCCTGGTTTTATTGATGTTGTCTATGAGCAAATGGGACTGAGAACCAAAGTGAACATGTTTTGCTGATTAAAAGCCTCTTTATGAACATTGAGATTTTATTAATTTGGTCTTGCTTCTGAGTAATCTCACCCAGAGTACTTCCTGTTGCACTGGTCTGAAGACATTTCTACCATGTACTCAATGGCAAGAAAACAATACATTCTCAAATTTGCATGTGTGCAGAAATAGTCGTAAGCATTTTCTTCTGCTTGTCTCTCGACCAGCTATTAAACCATTCACTATTGTCAGTCAGTGTTGGAGGGTGAGTAGTGCTGAAGAAGAAATTAGCTGGGTACTGCTGCAATTACTTGCTGTCTAGACAAAGATTACGTGGAAAATAAAGAGGTGATTAGTGAATACAAGTAGTTCTTCAAATTATCCATAGATTCACATTTTCTATGAGTTTTTTCACTATGGGCCTTCAATGAAGAGATCACTGTGCCACTGAATTAAATTATGTGTTTTTTGTATTAGCTATAAATTTTCTGCAACGATGCTCCCCAGGGCTGGGCCCCAATTTAGATAGATTGAGCATCGTTTCCTCCTTCTAGCCCCCCTCCAAAGAAAATGAAATACTTTTGTTTATTAAATTACAAATGCTTATTGCATAGATACGGCAGCATTTGTAGCAGTGCTTGCGAGAAGTCCTGGTGCTTCCGGCCGGAGGAGGAGTGAGGCCTGGCAGCAGTGCTTGACTCTGGCATCCGTATGCACTGGGCACTTGGCAGGTCCCTGTCTCTCTTTGAACTTATATCGTTCATCTGTGCGCCGGCAATGGTGCTCTCTACAATATCCACTAGGTGGTGTACAATCACCAACAAAAGTAAAATAATTTGTGTAATAAAAGGAAAATAATAAGTGCTTTTAAAACTCTAAGGCATCAGGGGAAAAGATGGCGGTGTGAGAAGGCAAGGCAGAAACATCCTCCCAGTATCACGTAGAGCACAGAAATACAGCAAATAAAACTAAACCTGAAAACAACCTGAAGACTGCAGAACTGACTACCTGCATCTGGGGAAGAGACCTCACCGAAAAGTGTGAAGTGGCGAAGCTGCGATCCGGTGGGACCCAAGCCCTAGGCAGCCCACGGGGGGTGGCGGGGGGGGG